AAAAACTCGTTCAATTATTGTATTCGATAAATCAAATATATGTTATGAAAATATTTTTTTCTTTTTTTTTTATCATTTTTTTTAACTTTCTTTTTATTTTTTAAATTTGAAATGCTTATTCATTTAGGTTCGATTCGGAAACTCAAAATTTAATGAACGATCTACGACAAGAAAAAGCACAACGTGAAAGATTAGCCAGAGAAAAAGAAATTGCGATTGCAGAGAAATTTACCATAGAGCAAAATCTTAGCGTAAGTAAAGTAAAAATCTAAATTGAAATATTCATTTGGATATATTTATTTCTATAGAAATAATCATTTCAATAGAATTTTTGTTTTACAATTTGATAAATATGTAAAAATATTAATATTCATAAAAAAATTGTAGTTCATTTATAATAAACATTTATATAAATAATATTTAAAAATTTTCACATTTTACAAATTTGATCGTAAAAGATATAACGAGATATCGACAATTAATCTAATACTATATGAAACGTACTTTAATTTCTCATTTATTACTATTCTTATTCACTTTTATAAATAGGATGCAAAATTAGAAATCGAATTAAAGGAAGAAAGATTACGGACATTAAGTCAGGAACTTGAAGAATTAACATTTGGCGGGAAAACAGAAGAGGAAGTAGCACAATTGAAAAAAGCGAAGCATGAATTGGAGAAAAGAGTAAAGGATCAAGAAGAAGAGTTGGATGATCTCGCTGGCCAAGTGCAGCTTCTTGAGCAAGCGAAACTGAGGCTAGAGATGAGTATCGAGCAACAGCGTAAAGAAATACGCAAAGAGATGCAACAAAGGGACGAGGAACTGGAAGATGTGCGTGGTAACGCGTTGAAAAAAGTGAAAGCTCTGGAATCACAGCTGGAAAACGAACATGAGGAGAGAACGATATTACTTCGAGAAAAACACGAGCTGGAACGTCGTTTGGTAGCTATTGAGGAACAGGATCGTGCTGAACGTGCCGCAGAAGCTGAAACTATGCATAGGTATATTATATGTAACATTGTATTATATTTTTTTTTTATATAGAATAAAAATCAATTAAAATCAATTATTCTGAATTGAAAGATTCATCATTAAAGCAATTTTTGTTCTTTCCTAGAAGAATATTTAAAAAAATTTTTTTAAGTTTCCAATATATCATTTTTAATAATAATGCAATTCATAATTAATACGTTTGATTCATTTACAGATTGAAGAGAGACTTGAAAAGAACCAAAGCTTTGCTAAGAGATGCTCAAACGATGCTGGAGAGATCAAAAGGCGATTCAACTGGTAAGGCAGCTCTACGACAATTGAAAAATCAATTGGAGGATGCAGAATGTGCTAGAGCAGCTGCTGTCAAAGCGAAACAAGCATTAGAACAAGAACTAAATGAGACACAAGCTTCGCTAGAAGAAGCTCAACGACAACGCTCCGAAGCGGAAGAACGGGCAAATATAGCTAGTCGTGAACGAACTGAGTTATTATCACAATTGGAAGAAAACGAAGAAGAGTTAGCTGAAGTATGTTTTTTATTTTATATTGTATTTAATATTATGTTTATATTTGTATATTATTAATATAATATACAAATGTCTTGGATCATTAAGATAAAATATATGATAACATGTATAATAAATAATAATAAATATCACAATCTTAAAGGTTTTAAAAAAATATCGGGCAGCAGTGCAGCAAGTATCGGCAGAACAGGGTCAATTGCAAGAAGCACAAGTACAGATTGCTGCATTAGAGGCAGAAAAGTCTGCGTTGAAGGATCAATTATCAGAGTTGACACAACGACTCGAATCCGTTGAACAATTGGGTGATCCAACTGCCAATAGTCTTGCTACACGGCGACTCGAGTTCCGTGCCAAGGAACTCGAAAGTAAGCTAGAATTGGAACAAACCACGAGAGCACGTTTAGAAGTAAGTTAATTTTTATTTGTTTGAATTAAAGATTTGATGTAATTTATGGATTATGTATTTGTTCAAATAAATAGAATTAAATATTAGAAAATATGAATGTTAAAAAATGTTTAAAAAAATTATAAAAAAAATTTAGATCTGGTTGTATATATTTAAGTATTTTTTTAATAAGTTTTTAATATTGTTTTGTTATAGACTCAAATAGCGAGATTGAAAGAAAGTGTGGAAAAATTACAAACTGAGTGTGCATTACTTCGTACAAAAGAACAGAGTGCTCAAGATACTTCCAGAAGATTGCAAAGATCATTACGGGAAGCAAGAGAAGAGGCCAGTTCAGCTCTAGCGCGTGAACAAGAATCTACCCGTGCTCGTCGCGAATTGGAAAAATCTCTTGAGGCTGCTGAAGCAGAAACTAAAGTCGCCAGAGACGATCTTAGATTGGCGCTTCAAAGAATCGATGATCTGCAAAGCGCTATTCAAGGTGAACTTGATTTGGATTGCAGCGAGGAAGGAACAACGGAAAATAGTGATAGGTATCTATTGTATTAATTGTTTAATTAAGTAATGGAATGATTGATGGGTATGTTATTATGTTGCATGATAATAAATTATGTGTAATATGCAAAAATATTCATAGGAATATGTAAAATATATATAATAAAAATATGAAATACTTCTGTTCATATTAGTTTTTTTTACATTTTACACATATTTTAATATATTTTGTATATTTAATATGTTATTTATAATTTTTTATATACTCACATATATTTCCTATTTCATTATTATTTAAAAAATCTCAGCATGTATGTCTTGCACACATGATACATATATGTACTGCATTTTATTACATATAATTTAATTTATATGTTTTTAAAAATCTACAATTTAGTGATTAAAATAAGTACATTCTATTAAAAAATCTTAATAAATAATATATCAAATAATATAATTTTTTTTTATTTAAATTTAGAATTAATTTGCAATATTAATTTTATGAAATATATGATCAAACTTATATAAAAAAATATTTATTACAATAAATAATATATTATCATACAAAATAAATTTAATAATTAAAAATTTAATAATTTGATATTTTCATTTTCCTTTTCTTATATTTTCTTCATAAATATCATAAAAGAAATTTTAATCTAATGTAATATGAATTAAATTTGAATTGAATAATTAATTGTAAAGAATTAAATAAATAAAATTTTAAAACAAATATTAAAATACATATGATTCAATTAATAAAAAGAATTTTTTTAATTAAAAAAAGTTTTGGGCAAAGTAATAAAATTGTATTATTGTCATTTAACAATATAACGATATTATATATTTTTATTGTATTACGAAAAAACTAATGCTTTAATATTTGTACATGACTATTTATTTATAACTATCATTATTTTTTTTCTAGTGATTGATGCGAACAGTTGTCGGATCTTGAATCCGACGAAAAAAAAGATAAGGAATCAACTGTTCAACGTATAACTGAAAATATTGCTGATGAATTGTCATTCGTCGAATCATCGATGGATACTTGTTGATTTATAAGGCTGAAAGAGAACAACAAAATAATAAAAATAAACAACAAAGACGATATCAAAAGAAGAAAGATAGGAGAGACATTAATTCAGAATCGCTAGACTTAGTTTGTTTCTATCAATCATCCACACCACTGTCGGTTGCATTTAAATTTAACGACGGCGAATCAAATTTAAAAGCTAAAAATCAAATTATTAACTCTATATATAAAGGTCTATCATAATAGAGTAAAATCATAAACAAAAACTGAAAAATAATGAATAAATTTATCAATTTGTACGATTACACTTACATACTTTTACTCGTGACTTTTTTATCAATATAATCGAAAAGATGACAAGTTTATAGGTGGTGCTAATTTCAAATCCCAAGAAACGTGTTGATGTCGTGGCTATTTGTATTCCGCTTTTTATTGCGCGTTTTTGGTGCTATTTAATCCGACAGTAGTTTTTATCGACGGACTACATTGTTGTTCCAGTCTTCCAAAGGAAAAGACAAACTTCGACACGTGAAAACACGTCTATTTGCACAATTAATAAAATGGTTACCTTTTCAACAGCCCAAAGTTCAAATGTGCAACATACCATAAAAAATAAAATATCAAAGCCTTACTTCCTCAGAAATGAAAAGCATTTCACGCTTTTTTAACATTTCGCTATACGTAGCCAATAATCTTGGCTATACAGTTTGTATTATAAAACGCGAGCTGCGACTCAATTTTTTGGTTTCTTACATATGTAACTTATTGCTTTGTAAAATGCAAATATCTTATTTAATTAATTTGTGTATTTTATTTTTTCTTTTCCTTTTTCCAAATCCTCTTATTGTATTAAAATATATTTAATAATGGAAAATGTGAAATAAACATTATATTTCAATAAATATGATTTTAAAAATAATTGTTAGTAATTTTTAATTGTACATATTCGTACAAGATTTTATATTAAATTCAGAATATATTATATTTTACAAATAAAATATTTAAATTAAAAATATTAACAAATTCAAAATAGATGTCAATTCAAAATAATATTGTTTAATTATAATCATGCATGTAAAAATCTTTTTTTGTGATTTTAATTTTTTATAAGAAATTCCATTATTGTTTAAACAGCATTCTATACATATCTTTTTTTAATTTTATAAACTATTGATAGTAATAAGTCATAAGCCATAAAGTCTTCTAGAGATAGAGATTGTAATTTTTTGTTAAAAAAGGAATGAAAATCGTATTCAATTAATATCCCATATCTAATTTATTATACATCAAGAAAATATAAATAAAGAAATCAAGTAGAAAAAGGACAGAAATAAAAATTAAATAAAAATCAACGCCATCTGCAGAATACTAGATGAAACTAACATCTAGACAAAGAAAACAAATAATAAGAAAAGGATAGAGATAGATTAAAAATATTGAAATCAGCGCCATCTTCAGAGTGCCGCAAATGAAACTTAAAAAGTAAGGACAGAATATAGTAGAAAAAGACAGAAATAAAAGAATTGAGCATCAACGCCATCTCTTAATTATCAAAAGTACCTTTTCAAAAATTATGAGATGGCGCTGCCTCTTAATTCTTTTCACTCTATCTTATCATCTTTGAAAAATACTTTTGGTACTCGAGAGATGGCATTGGTAGTTAATTCTAATTCTTTTACTATTCTCTTACTTATCCTTACTTTCTGAGTTTCATTTGCACTCTGAAGATGGCGCTGATTTCAATATTTTTAGCCTATCTCTATCCTTTTCTTATTATTTGTTTTCTTTGTTTACATGTTAGTTTTATTTAGTAATTTGCAGATAGCGTTGATTTCCTAATTTTTATTTCTGTCCTTTTTCTATTGTATTTTGTCTTTACTTTCTGTATTATTTATCTGCATTATTTATTATTTACTCTCCATACCTGCTCCACAAAATTCATATTTAAGAAACAGCTCCGATTAATTTTATTGTTTTCTTTGCTTAATCTATCGATTAAAAATCTTAACAAAATCCATTCAATTTAATTTTTTAATAAATATATTATTTATCTATTTTCATATATTCATATTTATTCTTATACATCGTATGAGATATATTATGACTAGTTTAAGATATATTGAATTATCTATATGAAAAATCTATATAAACTATATAAAGAAAGGATAGAAAATCATAAGACGGATAACGTAAGAATTGATTGCTAAGGCCATCTCTTAACTATTTTTAAAAATACGTCTTTCAAGAGATGTCTTTGACTTTTAAGAGATGGCGCTATTAGTCTTTAATATTAGTTTTTAATTCTTATGCTATCTCTATCCTTTTCTCATTATTTTCTATCCTTTATATATTTCATTTGCGGCAAACTGAAGATGGCACTGATTTCAATATTTTTACTTTATTTCTGTCTTTCTCTCACTATTTGCTCTCTTGCTGTCTATACATGCTCCACAAAATTTATTCACTCTTATATGTAATTAATGTGATTTTATTATTTTATGTATAATTTCTTTGGTTCACTTATTGATTGAAAATTTTAAGACTCTTAAATTATCGATATTATAAATTATTATTATTAAATCGTGTAATAAAAAAAAATACAAGCAAAAATAAACATAAAAATAATTTTTAATTTATGGACAATTCAATTTATATATGAATCTTATCTACTATTCATAATAAAAGAAATAAAAAATCTATTAATATAATCTAATATATGTATCTTAATGTTATATAATATTCAATTATATGTGCACATATAAAATTAATTTACTTATAATTGAAATATTTAACATTTTTTTTTGTTTATATTTCACATTTGATTAACTTATCTTTAATTTTTGACACATAAAAATATTCCTCTTATAAATATATACAAGAAGCTTTGCTATTATATAAAATGCAAATAAAACAATTAAAACTGATATTATTGTCAAAACTATTATAATGTCTACGTCATAGCGATGATACTAAAGTAATTATCCAAATTAATCCAAATTAAATTGGAACACTTTTCGTTCGTATTGCATATTCTACCCACCAAACGAGATTTTTTACGTATTATGAGATGATATATTTTTCATAATCGATTGAATATAAATTATTCTCTCTTTGTAACTAAAAAATCGCATTATTAGATATAAATGAAAAGAGTTGAAGGTGATTAAATTTGGCAGTTTTGGTCGTGTTGATGTTAAAACATCGAGCTGATTTATAAAAATGAAGCTAGTGTTTCTTTCAATGTCCAACAAATATGATAGTCCAAGATATTTTTTCGCCAATTTTTGCTGTTCAGAAATTAAATGATGGTTCATGCTATATATGATCTGCCACACATACATAAAATTCCACAATTTTCCAAAGAAATTTGTCGATTTTATTTCTCATATTAATTTACGGGAAGAAAATATTATAGAATATACTCCTCCAAGAATATGCTCGTGAAATGTCATCATTGCCAACGAAGTTAATCCTATCATGTAAATATGTTATTAAATCGAAATCATTAAAGTTTTCAGTTTTCGAATCAGTTTTCGTGATGATTATTTTTGCATGAAACAGATGTGCTTGATTGATTGACTGCTTGCTATTAAATCTTCTAGAGGTTTGTATTTTTGAATTTATGGAAAAATATTGAAAATAAGTAAAATGATTGATAGAATTGAAATATATTAATCTCTAATCGAAGGTAAAAAAGAATTCTTTTAGGTTGAAATCAATTCAATATAAAAAGTACAAAACTGATAAAATTTAGTTGTCTCGATATACTTTTTTTTGTCAATATAAAGCAAATATGGATTTTTTCCGCTTTTAATCATCGATATCTTAAATAATATGTGGAAATATAATGTCCTATTTTTTTTTTTTTTTCTATAATGCAAGATAGATAAAGAAAAAAAAATTTCTTTGCTGTCAGAAAATATAGATTTATTTTAAAAAGAAATATAAAAGTATATTATGAGAAAAATAAATTGTAGAAGGGAAAATCGATATACATTTTCATGACATAATGAATGCATCAGGCGAAAATTTTAATCTTACAAAGAAAAAGAAAAAATTTTAATAATAGAAAATTAAAAATTTCGAAAATATAACATTGAATAATAAATAACATTGTTATTTTATATTCATGTTTTTGATGTATGAAAAGAACAATAAGAAATAAGTTCTAGATATAAATATTCCGATTATAATTATAAAAATTTTAATATATATTAATATCAGTGTTAATAAATAAATTAAATATTTTTTAAATAATGATTAAAATACTGATGGATTGAATAAAATACTATATCGATTTTGCATCAATAGAAATATACTTTATATCTTAAGTCGTATAAATTATAAAAATTAAAAAATCATAGACAAATAATATATATATATACAAAAGAATATATATATAGAGAAATTATATAACTATAGACGCAATTTCTTTGAAAAATTTTTATTAAAAAAAATAACATGTAAAAAGATTATATTTATATCTAATTAGTAATAAAAAAAAACGATTTTTGTACTTATCATTTACAACTAAGATAACTTTGATCACTTTGTCTTCGATGCAAATAAGTTAATGGCACAACAAGACGATTATCTTTACTTTTATAATATTCATTAAAATCTAATCGTACACTTAATAATTGTAAAGATACATCTTCTGCCGAAGCAAGCATTATAAGAAATTTTTTTACTCTATCCTGTAAAAAAAATATTTTTATATAAAAAATTATTTAATAAATTATATAATAAATTACAATTTTATAAAAAACTTTAAATAAAAAATTATTATATCTTTTAAATTTAAATATTTTTATTGATCGTATAATTAAGAAATTAAATAATCAAACAGGAGTGAAATCGTTTTATATTTCAATATTAATCGAAATTACTTTAAAATTCGATTCATTTGCATTATAATTAATTCGTTAAAATATAAAAATATGGTTTTTTTAAAACGACAAAAATGAAAAATATCAACATTTGTTTATCTAACTTAATATATATTAATTTTAAAAATTATTAAAAATTATAATAATAATATTTAATAATAATAATAATATTTAAAGTTAATAATTTAAGTGATGTTACCTGATATGTTCTTGAAAGTAATCTGAGTTGAATTGAAAGTGTATTTAAATATTTCGAAAATGTGGCTTGACGTTTAGCGATTTCTGCATCCATAGTTTGGTCTAAATGACTTGACATTACAACAGTTGTATTTAATAACTTATTATCTTTTAATCGTGCTTCATATTCATGTGTCGCACGCGCAAGAAATGTTTCTTCTAGATTTTGCAAGTCTAAAATTGGACCATATACAGAACGTAAATGATCCATAAGTTCCTGTTTAAAGTAATATTATATATTATATTATAATACTATAATACTATAATACTATAATATAATAATTTTTTATTCTGATATTTTAGGCAAATATATATAAGTATATATTAATATATATACTTACTTGTGATTTTTCATCTAGCAAGGTACCACGTCTGACAGTATCTATAAAATGAGTATGTGCTGTAATTATATCATCCAAAGATGTTGCTTGTGCCAATTGTTTTGCAAAAGCATCCCAAGAACATTCAATTACCTTAAAATTCGGTAATTAACTAAAATTACTTTCTTTTAAAAATATAATATTTTATAATAATATACTGTTAACATTTCATCAAAATTTTCTATTTTACCTCAAATAGGAAAAAATACTGCATTTGATGAACCAAATGTACCATACTACTTGTAATTAAATGAATATGAGTTTGAATAGGTAATACTTCGGGCATTTTACGAAACATTTTTGCTGAAGTTATTTGACGTTTCCAAATCGTAGATAATATAGATTCCATTCGTTTCGCTCTCCATAAAGCAAAAAATACAGTTTGATAGATTTGCCTACAAGGTTCTAAAATCTAAATAAATAAAATTATTTGGATATATATTATTATTATTTTATATATTATCATAAAAAAATATTTAAAAATTTTTAAATTTTTAAAAATAATAAAAGAATATTTTTTAAATTTATAAATTTCTAATATATTTAGAATATTTATTTTGAAGAAATTTTATAATGTTAGTGACAAATGAAAATTTTATATCTCATACATACTGTTGTACATCATGTTTTCATACATACTGTTCCAATAGGACCTCCCACATTGTAATCGAGAATAAAAACATCCCATCCTCTTTCATTTTCTGAAGGTGCTAATAATCTTACATCAAGACGTTTATGTGTATCTGAATCATCTATCTTTGTAACAGTTGCTCTTATTCCTGTTTCCAAAATTGAAGATATATTGTGTGGATATACAGAACTTGCTGGTTTATCTAATTCTGGTCTACAATAAACAAATATAAAAAAATATAAAATAGAAAAACAGAAATAATCTGAATAATAGATTAATATTTTAATTCTTATATAAGATGTTAAAAAATACACAAAATTTTTGAAGCATCAATTTTAAATATCAAAATAAACATAAAAATTTTATAAAAATTTTATAAAAATTTTACAAAAATATCAACTTATATATCATTTATATAAAATTTTTTTTCGTATTATTATTTTTATTATATTTCCATATAATGTATGATTATATTATATATTATATAATAATCACAATATGTATGTTTTTTTCAATGGACATATGTGATATCAATATGATCAAAAATATATTATAAAAATTAAATTTCGATTCATGCAATTTTTATCGAAAATTGAAGTAATAAATATTAAGTACAAATAAAATAAAAAAAAATTAATTGCTAATATTTATTAAATATTTAATTATTTAAATTATTATTTATTATGGATATCAAATAAATATATTACTGAAATATATATAATATATTAATCAACAAGAAATTTTATCAACATTATATCTACACAATTAATTATATCAACAAGAAAAATTAATGATTATTAAAAATTAATAAAATTAAAATTATATATTGTTGAATTATATGTTGAATTTTATAATATATTATAATTTATTATTTGTTATATATTTTATAATATGAAGTTATATAGAATTTATTGCAGCTTATTTGAAATAAATTTTTGTTAAATTGTACAATTAAATAAATTGTATAATAAAATATATTTAAAATTTTATGAAATTTTAAACATTTATGTTTTAATACATTAAATTGTATATGTAAAATAATAACTATATTACACTATAACTTTTTGTTAAAAAAAGCTTTGCAAATCATTGCTTGTCTAATCTATGAACTTTCTTTGTAATTCAATTCATTAAATCTGTTAATAATCAATAATTTGCTTACATACAGATATTTTTAATGCAAAATTAAAATATTTATAATTTGAAAAAAAAATTATAATTGAAATTTTTAAATTTATTTGAATATTATTTTGATATTTAAAATTAATGTTTAAGAATCTTTAAAAATACTTTAAAAGTATTCTATAATTATATGATATTCTATATAAAAATATAAAAATTTATAGTGAAAAATAATATTATTTACTCTAATAAGTGCATAAGATATTGAATGAAATTTCCTTCTCCTAATAAAAGATAACCTTTAATTGCATGTAAATGTTCCATTAGATGATACTGTTTTGTTAAAATTTCTACTACTCTGGTTGAAGTTTCTTTATAAGCTGTGTCCATCATAGTTTGTAATCGACCATCAGGATCCATATCAAAAAGAACATCAACTAAAAAATATTTAAAATAGAAAATTTAATTCTTTAGAAAAAATTAATTGCTAAAAATAATCACAATAGCTATAAATTAAAAAATAATTATAGATTTATTTATGTTATAATATAATATAATATTTACATATAAAATAAATATATTACTGAAATATATATATATTTTGATTTTGTTTACAAGATACAGTAATCTTATGTTAAAGAATTATTTAATTATTAAATTAAATTACCTTTATATTCTTCACTAAAATTTTCAAACATTTTTGTATGTTTTCCTTGCCATGGAGTAAAATCTTTGCATACTTCACGCAGAAAATTAATACTCTTTCCCGTTCCTAAAATTTTTTTAGCTTGTATTTTTGTAATAAAAGATGGTAACATATTGTTGCGAACTTGATATTTCTCATGCCACATTCTATCTCCAGTAATATCAGCACAAGCTTCAATGAAAAATTCTCTATATGGATCATCTAATTCACCATCTGCCATCCATCTTATCAACATATTATACAATGGATTGCAAACACTTTGTAAAATCCTTTTAACTAATTTTTTCACGTTAGTATCACCATGATTACTAAATTCATACACTGCAGAAGCTAATGCACCACCTTTTTGTCCTTGGCAAGCTTTTACTATGCTTGCTAGCCATTTTAAAATTTCTAAAGGATCATATACCCAAAGATGTAAATGGGATAATGTAACTCTGTATAATCCTGATTCAGACTGAGCTCTATTATATATTCAGACATATTACCATTTATAACAAATTTGTAAAATATTATGTTTATATTTATATTAATACCTGTTTACTTCTTCTTGAATAAGCGCAATAACCCTATAATATTCAGACAATTCAGAATGTAATGCTGCAACAAAGCTATCAGCTACTTGACCACTTGAAGCAACTGACATTCTTTCTAAACCTTTTTGTATTATATTATGCAAATATCCAAGTTCACTTAATCTCAAAGTTGCTTGCTTTCGTGGTCTATCAATGCTAATAATTGGATCTATTTGGAAGCCATAATTAGAATCTAACTTTAATATTTTTCCTTCTATACCTAAGAAAGAATATATAAGATCTTGAATCAATACATCTTCTGAAATATATTCTTCTCCATATATTTTATTAGAATTTAAAAAATCTCTTGTATTCTTGTTTGCACTATTTATAGATACAATTTGTGGTGATGCAGAAATTTCAGATGATTGTCCTAAATAAGAAAATATATTGAATATTAAATATTAAAATTTATATATTCATATATATATAACTATATATTTCTACTATATTATACTATATTATACTATATTATATATATACTTCATATATATATAAATTTATATATTTATATATATATAACTTATATATTAT